TATTAACAATCATACCAACCATGTAATATTGGTTTTTTGTAAATAGGTCTTTTTTGTAATTTGCACCAGGGAGGAAAAATCGCTAGTTTTTTTAATAATATCAAACATATAGCATCTTTTTTTGCTCTTTACCTTTTGTTTAATAAATAAGCTTTACAAATAAGTCAAATTTGTTTTGCTTCTAACTCTTCCTTTGCCTGATTTTGCATTATCCTTAATTTATGGACATGAATGTATATGGAGTGTTTTGTAAGGAATAAGAATCTTTTAATATGCAATTAGTATCTTTGTAATAATGTTCTTAAAAGGGCTTTAAACATAAATTTTAAATTTTTGGTTTTACGAAGATGATACTTACAATAATGCATGATAACCTTGAAATTAGAACATTGAAAAGAAAACTGGTACTTAATGTTGGGAAGTGGTACAGTTTTAGTGCCAATTAATGGGTAAGTGCATTGATAACACACTCAAAACATCTGCACTTTTGTTTGATGTAACAGCAGTTGATTCTATGGATAAGCCGCTTTAAATTTTTTGACTGAGAATATAAATTAATTTGCAGTTTAGTACTAATTATAAGTAAGTGCTGATTCATAATACTCTCAAAATATCTGCACTTTCGTTTGATGTAACACTAAATTGATTCTCTGGATAAGACACTTTTTAGTTTCATGACCAAGGATATAAATTAACTGTTAATACTGTATTTTTGCTCTTGCATAAAAAATAATGAGTTTGGTGGATAAAAAAAAAATCACACTTTTGATTGCACTCTGGTTCATTTAAACCTGTTCAAAAGAATTAACACCTGCTGAATGGAGAGAACGGATATGACTCACAAATAGTAATAGATTGGGACAATCACCTGCAGGAATTTTATACTTATAGTTTTCAAATCATCCAAGTACCTAACAAACTAGGAAAATGGATGAAAGCTTTGAAGTGCAAAAATGAAGCGGGCCAGATATTATTTATTAAATGAAGAGATCTCAGTTTCTTCAGAATTCTGCAAGAGTGATTCACAGATCATGTTTGATGATGGTGAATTTTCATAATTGATGGGATAGTACATAAATAACAAGAGAGTCATTTCCAGTTTTTTTTTTTAAATAAAAATCAGCTACAGAATTTACTTGAAATAGAAGCAGTCATAAGATCTCGGAGCAGTCTAAGAGCAGTCTCAGATAGAAAATACAGAATAAATAAATATTAAAATAAAAGATGGCCTTTTATTTTAATCATACTTAGTACATGCATATTTATTTCGACATTATGGTATGTAAAATGTCAGTGAATTAAAGTCATTGAAGTGACCGTGAAAGACTGCATCAAAACAAAAGGATCTGAAGAGAAAATATTTTTGATTTTTTATCTGCAGTAGCATACTTATTTCAGTGGGTGAAGAAATTATGATTGGTTGCATGTTACATGTTCTATATTTTAATAGCTTCCAGATTCATTTGAGAAAAACATCTATGGAAAGTGACTACTATATTAATTTGAAAAAAATACCTGCCTTTTTTTTTAGCCCAAAGGGCATTAGGGTTATTAATTTCGTTTTGGCATTTTGCGTTGGTTCACTTTAAATGTCGGTTCACTTTTTCAAATTGTTGCCACCAAATATTATTGCCCTGTGTATATTTAAAGAAATTAAATAATGAAGAATCTGCAAAAATGTTTCATGCATTGTGATAAAACAGCGGTACCTAGAGCCATCAGATTCTAAGTAACGTAATCTTCCACCGAATATGGGCATCTTGAAGCCCTAATTTGGAATTTGAAATGTTTTATTATCAGTTTCATATTTTATAACACTTTAACAAATTTTTGATTAACAAACTCAAAAATTTCAAAGCGAGCAATGGTTACACTGTACAGGGGTGAGGGAAACTATTTTTATCTCTAGCGTGCGAGGCTGCATATCGGAAATTCTAAAGATATGCTTTTTTTAAAATTATTTTGCGATATTGCTGTTGAACTGAATTTTATGGTTTAAGTGTGAAGAACATGATGTTTAATAAATAAAGGTAACATGCAAAACCTTAAAAAAAAGTCCTTTTGGTTGTAGTATATAATCTGAAAACGTTCAGATTTTTTAAAATTTATTTTAAAATTTAGTAGGATCTTAGAAAGGGGTATTTAGATAAATGAAATTGTAGAAGAAGATAAATGAAATTGTAGAGGAAGGAGTTTAATTATCATACTGTTGTATGCATAAGAGATTGTAATGCATAGTAATACAATACAAAGTCTGTAATCCGGACCTCAAAGCTACAAACTTTATGAGCATGCATAAACGTATTAATGCATTTACACACGCGCGTATGTGTTTATGCATGTACACAATGCATTTAATGTATAACGAACGGTATAAGCTAGGCTAAAATTATCTAAGGCATTCCAGTTAATGTTGCAGATTGTGCTGTTCTTTAATTATCTAATTGGATCCGGCTTATTATTTTTTGCAGACTGTTAGAACAATTTTATAAAAAGCTTGAACTTCCGATTCATGTCAAAAAGAGTTTCCAATTCTGGAGCTGCTAAAGGATCTACAAAGCGAAAGCATGTTTCGATGTCCATTAAACAAAAAGTGGAATTGCTGCAAAAAATGAATAAAGGCTTATCTGTCTCAAAATTATGCGAGAAGTATATCATTGGATAGTCCACTACATATGACACAAAAAAAAGGAATTTTTTGAAATTTTTGTGGAAGCATCTGAAACAACTTACATTGAAAGAAATGTTTAATAAAGTAAACAAATAAATATCCTCTTTTTTTTTTTTTTTTTTAAATACCCTTTTAGATCATAATAGCTCTTTATTTCATAAATTACGGTTTTATATTTTTAATTGTATAATTTCTGCATGCAATCTTACTAGATTTAAATTGATGATCTATAATCCGGAATCGCCGAGGTCCCGACGAGTCCGGATTATACACTTTGTACTGTGTAACAACGTGTGTGTTTGCCATTAGAGAACTTTCTGTTCGTTCTCTTGGGAACGAACCCCAGTATCCACCATGGTGGCCGGTGAAAGTGATCAAGAAAAGACTCATTAAAATCCCCTTTAGGGGTGTATATGTAACTCATTTGATGAGATTAAAGAAAATGTTTTTTTTTTGACTGCGAAAGAAAAAGATACGTTCAAGCATCGGGGAAGCTGTTTTCTTCCCATTACAGCACACAGATTTGATGGTAGCTTAATAAAATTTATTTTGCCTAAAGAAACACTTTACAGTTCCAGAACTTTTCACAAAAATACTTGTACAGCTCTTCTCTACCACAGAGCACAATCAGAAGTTATATTTCAAACTAATGAGAACGTTAAACACAGCACAGTGCAAAGCACATCTAAAAAGGTGAAGCTCCTAACGTAGATATCTCAATATTGTTAGCTCATGTTGAACTGAACTAAACAACTGCTACTGAGAAACTGATGTTCTCCCTAGTCCTTTGTACTTTTCTCCCAGCTGCTGGTAGATTTTTAGCACCTTTCACTTCTCAAAGTTACTGGAAGGCATATGAGGGCCAGGTACATATAGCATCAATTACAGTGTCCATTACAGTTATACAGGAATTGGGCCAAAATGTCGCAATGGCAACTTTTGCCGATATCTCGCCAAAAATTAGTTGCCAAAACCATCATCAGCTCTGCCATATCTCACCAATTTAGCGAGAATTTAGAGAAAAGCCATTCACTCAATGTTAAATAGACTTGCTCCTGTATTCTTACTTTTCTGGCAAAGCTTTGCTTCCTTAGATTATCATGTTACTTTATGCAAAAAGAGAATACTAGAATAAAAGGAAAACTAGAATTTGATAAATTCCACTAAAATTATTTACATATATCTAAAAATTTGTAACTAAAGTATTATTATGAGTGTCTTAATACTTTAGTATTTTAGCAGGTTTATTTATAAACCATATTACATATATAAATTGCTTAACTACTGCCACTACAGTAGCCATGTCAAGCTGAACAATTTCAGTTTAAACATATATTCACTATACTGGTTCATTCCATACCTGAAAACAAATAGGTAAGATTATATTAAATTTTCCTTCTATACTTAATAAAATATTGTATTTAGTTGGTAACTTGTCTTTCATTTTAGTTACAATCACTGCTGCTTTCATCAAATATTTGCATACATTTAGTCCAAAAGGCCTTTGTCCCTGAAGAACTATTGTTTTCGTTTTGCGATTTTGCATTGAAAACTTCTAAAGGCTGTATCACTTTTCAAATCGTAGCCACCAAATGGTATCATCCTGTATTATATTTGAAAAAATTAAATAATGAAGAATCTGCATAAATGAATGTATGTTTCTCGCATTCTGATAAAACAACGGTACCTAGAGCCATCCAGTTTTGAATGACGTAATCCTACTGCAAATATTGGGCATCTGAAAGCCCAAATTTGGAATTTGTTTTATCATCAATTTCATATTTTGTAAACTTTAACGAATTTTTGATTAACAAACTCAACAATTTAAAAGCGAGCAATGGCAACACTGTACCGGGGGGGGGAAACCTTTTTACCTCCAGCTCGCGGAACTGTGTATCAGAAACTCCAAAGATATGCTCATTTTAAAATTATTTTTCGACACTGCTGTTTTACTGAATTTTATGATTTAAGTGCAAAGAACGTGATATTTATTAAATAAAGATAACACACAAAACATTAGAAAAATGCTCCTTTGGGTGTAATTTAAAATCTGAAACCCTTCAGATTAAAAAAATTTATTAATTTTTTTTTTTATAATTTATCGTAAATTGTAAGGAGAGTCTTATGTTCAAGAGATGTCTTATTTTCATGTATATATATGGTATATTATATCACTAAACTTTTATATTAGAGCTTTCTTATAACATTGCACCTAAAAACATAATTTCCCATTCTTGTGTATCAAATAAATTTGTTACATGTGTATGTTTTTATATGCTTTTAAGAATCTGGTTTTTTAATTGGTATTATTTCTGTTTCAATCTTTTAGATCTAGTTTACTGTATGGAACTTGTTGCCTCAGCGGTAAAACTTATACCATTGGCATTTTAAGGTTCTGTAAACAGGTAGATTATATAATTTATAAAACATTAAACTGTATAATTTATACTCTTCATGGATCTAATTTTTGTTGGAATATTTCTTTAGGCCACTCTTCAGTTTTGTGCTGTTAAACCATTAATGTCTGTCATTACTCTAATTCTGCAACCTTTTGGAAAATATTCTGATGGAGATTGGAGGTACATTTTTTAACTGTTTATTACGTATCTTTTTTTTAGCAGTTTTTTAGTTTCTAGGCACTCAGTTTTACTCATTAATATTTCATATAAGTAAAACTGAGTAATATTTTTATATATCTCCAGTAATTATTTATAAAATTATTTTTCATTATAGAGTTAATTTCACATAATAAGAGTAGCTTGGAATAGTTCCAAGAATTTTTTAGGGGAAATGCAAAATTAGTTGTAAAATTATTTGTGCTATATATTCTTCAAAATCGTCTTTTGATAGTTGTTGAAACTGTTCCTTATGATGATCAGTTAAAAGGAAATGGTAAGAGTCAATAAATATTTTCATTTGAACTCGGTTGTCAAACAAGGGAACAAATAGAAATTAACTGGAGAAGGATACAGAAAATATTTGGGATATTCATTACATTGCACAATTTAGAAGACTGAAATGAGCATTACATTCATTAAGGAAAAAAGAGAGTTTTTTTTTTCAGTCATGGTTTTTGTTAACTCATAAAAAAAAAAAAAAAAAAAAGAAGAAGAAGAAGAAGAAGAAGAAAGAAAGAGAGAATTTCTATTCATCTAGGTTTTAGTGCATCATAAGAAATGATTTAATTTTAGCAAAACACCAAGGATTTATAGCTTGTCTTATTATTAGAGGTAGAAAATTTTTCTGTATCACTGGCATGCTCTGCAAACATTGCAGTCACATGCTGTTTTATTTTTCATCACAGCATTCCTCTTCTTTAAATAAAGCTATTTTATCAGATAAACACTGATAAAATAACTTGGTTTCTCTATGTTAAACATATTATTCAGCATGTAGCTGTATAGCAGAAAGAGAAGTTTGTAATGATGATCCACATACTAAGCTTTTTTATTGCAGCATTACTCAAACCATTTCCATGCATTTTTCTACATCTTGGTACTTCAGTTTTCAAATTTTTTAATTTTCGTCTTACACTACCTGTCACTGAAAATGCAACACCAAGAAGGAGTGGCCAGAAAGTCAGAAAGTGGCCAGAAACTCTGCAAATGGATAGAGACAGCAACGAACAAAAAGTGGTATTTATTTTGAAATGGTATGCATAATACAGAGCGAGAATAACGTCGGCTCAGTAGGTTCGTTCGCCACCAACCAGGCTTCCATCTTAAGGCGAATCCAATTGTAATTAATACCTGATCAGTGAAGATTAAATCTATTACCAGCAGCCACCACAACAGGGTGGACTGCTAGATCAGTGACATTTATTTTGTATCAGCCAAAGTAAATTGTAACAAAAATCAAAGAATATGTATCAATGACATCTTTGCACTCAATAAAAATTGTAACAAAAATTGTTATGTCTTTTGATACATATTCTTTGATTTTTGTTACAGATGTAAGTTGTAACAAAAATCAAAGAATATGTATGAATGACATCTTTGTGACATATGTACAAATGATATTTTGCATAATCAAAATTTGCATGCACTTGCTAGGCAATTACAATTGCTGCCTTCAACCATATATATATATAAATACAAGTTTGAAAGTTATTAGAAACCTTTAAGTTGTTTCTAAAATTCGTGTGTTACTTTGTTCTTTCAATGTCCAAAAAGTAACTCTTGAGTTCATTGTTTAAAATTAAAACGATTTCAGAACATATTCTTAAATTACAAAGTCTGTAAGTTCAATACAATAAAGTCGGATTCTACAAAAAGTCACTAAAATCTGAAGTTCATTGTTTGAAACTAAAACAGTATCAGAACATACTCTTAAATTACAATGTCTATATGTTCAATACAGTACAGTCGATTGTAATTAATATTCATATTTATCAAAGTTTCTATTTTGCAGTAAAAACATATCTGTCGTTTATGTGCATTGAATATGGATTGTCTAATTCAAAGGCACACTCTTAAAAAGATCACATAATTGTTAAATGTGTGCTGCTCAATGTTTAGCATCTCGTTCATAAGTTTCACAAAGTATTTTCCTTAATAGATTCTTAAATTTGCATTTAATTAATGATGTTTGTTCCAAATCTTATTTTGTTCTGAAGTAGTTAGGAATGGCCACGCAACTGAATCCCAGTCAAGGCAATTGGATTATAATTACATGAAAAATGGGGCCCCTATTTAAATTCATTTTTCACAAATTCAAGTCTTAAAATCAGAACACTAATAAACAATTAACAAATTTTCTAATTTCAGTATTTATAGTTAATACGAAAAACAGAGCAGTGAAATTTTTTTCAAAGAACTTAATCTGTTTATAATGAAATATAATCAGCTTTAGAAATCAGACCATATCTAGGAAATAATTTTGTTTAATTATAGAATAAATGTCCACGTAATTAATGTATTCCAGTTTCAAATATAATCATTCTCAAAAACTAAGAAAATAAACTAAAAAATAATATAGCAATAACATTTTAAGACATAGCCCTTAACTGAGAACATAACTCTTTTTAAAAAACAGGGCAAACATAAAAATTAGAAGTGTGACAAATGCTGTATTGCGTGTGCATTTCCAAATTTGATCTTAAACAGTTAATACAAGATGGACCCTCTTTATAGTTTGTAACTAAATTATCATTTGTGTGAGTGCAGTGAGTGTAAAATAAAGAATTTGTACTATTTTGAATATGGTGGCCAAAAGCCTGGCAACCATAACATCTTAAAATTCAAATATATTTACGAAAACTGCAAGAATTGAATTCAACATAAACACGATCCTTATGTCCCAGTAATGCCAAAGACCGTTTGCCTATTTGTAGAATGAAATTCTTACTATTATCTGTACATTTAAAACTTGGGACAAAATTTAAGTATAAATTAGTATCTCTCGGCAGGTCCGCTGTAAAAGCATATTCGATCGCAGTCTTATTCACATTAACAGGAACTCCAAATAAAATAATTCTATTCATATGCAATCTGGGTATTCATGACAAAATATTGGCATTTGAAGAAGATGATATCAAATCTTTAATATGTTCTTAATGCTACGGTGTATCACAACCTGTGAGAAGATCCGTCAAACAAGTTAAAATGCACATTTGTAATGCAAATTCCTGTATTTGAAACATCAATTTTAGCTAACTTAGATTGAAAATCAGCTAAAGTCAGCTAAAGTATTGACTGGTTGTGATAAGGAGACAATGATAACATTATCCAAATGGCATTTGAAAGAATTACTAATCATAGACAAATTGTCCTTAAATGCAATCTTTCTTGTATCTTCTGTCAAAGAAATTTCCCTTATTGGGCTAAGTGTCTGTGAAATTTTATCTTTTCTGCCAATTATGTCCCTCTGAGTCTCTTTAATTTTATTAATGGACTGTGAGTCCAAAAATGTATAATCAATTTGAATGTGTCTGAGACCGCTATTGAATTTGTTTGAGAAAATTTATCTTTACGATGTATTGAAATGGAATCGGTATTTGTCGCTTGATAAGTTAGATCATCTGCTGTAAAAGTCCTGTCTTCAACAAGTTGTTTAAAATCCATTAAAGACTGTAGCATAAATTCCATTTGCCTTTGTTGTCCAATTACAAGAAGATCAGCTTGTGAGCAAACAATCTCAAAATTCTTTCAAATGCTGATTTTATATTGTCCAAAAGATTATGAAGTCTTTTAGTATCTTGGATAATTTTACAATTTTTTGATTTTGAAGTTTGGAGGGAAAATAAGCAAAATCTGTTACATCGTTTAGTTTTTCTGGTTAGACAGCATTTTTAGCCTTGATAAAGGTAATAGAAAATGAACCCCAAAGAATCAATTAACAAAAGAATTAATTCAATAACTCAGTGGGAATAAGTAGACCCGGTACTCAGTATTTAACATTAGAGTCTATTGAGTTATCCATAAAGAATCCGTTTAATTTCTAACATTATGTGAACATTGAAATAATATGAAGGTATAATTTAGCAAAATAATAGTGTTATATACTTCATACATTAAGAGGGAATATGGCATACCCCAGTATTACATATAATAATCCTAATATTTAAGTCTCCAAAAAGTTGTAAATGGAATGCTGGCAAATTACTTAATAACATATAACGTAGTATTTCTTCATTGTCATTTGTACAATTTTTCTATTATATTACCTCATAAAATATGAATTAATGTGATATTGTTGCATAAAATCACTTTATAAAACATACTCAATGTTTGGCATTTAAATGTTCATTATCCTTTATTAAAACACATACAATTATTTTATCCCTGTCTGAAAATTAACCCTTCAGGATTGGGCTGGTTAATGTAAGAGTTAATTGGATTGCAATCTGCAATATGACTGGTATAGTGAGCAGGTCTTTTTCCTTTGTTTTTGCAGCTGGGAAGGCAAGGTGAACTATCAAGTTTGATATCCTTTAGCTTAATCACTTATCTCTTTCAAAGAGTTAGTCTAGATTATTATTTCTTTCATTTTCTATTCCTTTATGAAGTAAATATACTTATTGAGAGACTATATCTAATTTTGCATTTAAAAACTAATATTGCAAGTAGAAAATGATTTCATTAAAAAGGGTACAGCACTGAATTACACAAGTCCCGTCTTTTCATGTATCCAAAAAATATCCAAGCACTAGTTAAAAAGGTTAGGGAAAATTACTTGCTTTATTTTTCAGTTTAATGTTTTTAAAGTTTGTTTTAGTTTTGAAATCAGATTTTAAGTGTATTTACATATTTGCTCAACAAATAAATGAACAACATTATTTTCATTTCAATTGTTAATTTAATAAAATGATTATAATGTTTTCAAAATTTTACTTTTTATAATAAATATGATCACTTTTGATAATTTATATATGTGAAAGATAAAAAGGTTTAACTGTTGTATGTTAAATTGTCTTCTATTTTTTTCAGGCCTGATAGTGGTTATCTGTACATTACAATCATCTATAATATAAGTATTACTTTGGCACTTTATGGACTTGTATTGTTTTACTTTGCTACAAAAGAACTGTTGAGCCCTTATGAACCAGTTTGGAAATTCTGTACAATAAAATCTGTTATTTTCCTTTCATTCTGGCAAGGTATTTCAATTTCTTAAAATCAATTAACTGCTATGAAATAATTAACAGTCATTTTCTGTAGTAAAAGAAGTCTTGGCAAAAGTTGGTGTTGCAAGTAATAAAATTAGTTACAATCCCAGTTACACTGCCAGTAATAAAATACAATTCTCAGTTCATATGAACTAAAACTGTATTTTATTATTTGTGAAAACTGTTTAGCTCCTATGAATGTCAGAATTTTATTATACAAAATTTCTGTGAAAGTTGACTGTATAGTTGTTGATTATTATAACTTTTGTTTTAGATATAAAGAATTACAATGACACTAAATAATATAGTAATTTATTTAATAAATTATGTATACAAGTCTTTATATGTAAGATAGAAAATATGGAATTATGAATTATAATTTAAATTAGGAATAGCCCTGAAATCATCTTTTTAAGAAAATATGGAACTATGAATTATAATTTAAATTAGGAATAGCCCTGAAATCATCTTTTTAATTTGGGTATTTCTCTCTATTCTAAGAGTAGTAATAATTTTTTTTTGGACTGTGTTATTTCTAGATCAAAACATACATATGACTTAATAATGCTGATGATGTGCTAATTTGGAATTTAAACTGAAGCTTTCTCTTAATAAGCTGCTGTACTGGATAGTTTTCTTCTACCTTTGTTCTCACTTAGACACGTTTTGTTGCATTTCTTCCTATTGTAGCAAAATCAGAAATGTAACTGTTCTAGAACTGGCACGATTAATCTGCTAAGTGTTCGCAGCCACAAAATGTTTAACTGCAATAAAAGAAATAAGATTTAAATTTGTTACGACTGCATCTTATTTCATGTGTATATATATGATTTCCAAGTTTATCCTTCATTCTGGATTTACTGTATGCTTCCTACATCTATTCTTATTATGGGTGCGTCATTCTCCATTTAAATAAAAGAGTAAGTTTCGGTTTAAGTTCTGGCTTAGCTGTATCATTAGTGTTATGTCATATGTATGTAAGACACAGTCCAGAAAAAGTTATTAATGTTTTTAGAATAGAGAGGGGACATACCCAAATTAAAAAGAGAAATTAAGGACTATTGCCAATTTATAATTTATAGTTACATATTTATCTTACACACACACACACACACATATATATATATTATTAATCTTTATATAAAGGTAGCAAAAATGAAAATGTTCTAAGTAATGTGCAAATTAAATACAGAAATTATTTAGAGATGACTGAAAATGAAAATGGCAGTATGAAGTAAATGTAATTAATAACCACATTAAAAATTAATGTAATTGCTCATTTCTAGCTACTAGTAAGAGAAGTCTTTAATTGAAAGTGACGTTTCGAGATGAGATGACCTGATTTTTTACTTTCTGCTGAAAAAGTTAAAACTGCAACCCATTCATATATTTAAAAAGTGTAGTTGTCTTAAATGTGCTATGAATTGACAAAGTTTAACAATGGAATTACTTTTTATTTCTATGAAGCCTTAACACATACCTGTTTCAATTAAAATAAATTTTTATTTTTGTTGACCTTAAATTCAAACAACCGTGTTTTAATTTTCACTCTTATATAAATTAAGCTATTTTATTTGCCTAGAACAGCGGTTCTCAAACTTTTGACTAAAGTGTACTATCTAAACAAAAATTGAAAAATTTCAATAACACCGCTATTATTTTTCAATTTCTCAAAAGAAATGGTAATATATGTATTTTGCTATTCGCACAACCTGTTGGCTGTTTGTATTAAATATGTACACACACACACAAAATATTAGATTAAAAGAATTAATAACCATTTTAATTATCAAAATTTAAGTTATAATACCTTAAGTCTAAAATTTACTGTGAAATTTCGGTCTGTTTACAAGAGATCAATTTCTTTATTGTCTGGTCTTATTTCACTTAGATTTAACCATAAATTAGGACCAACTTTTAATTTTGTTCTGTATTTATTTTTCAAATATAACACGAAAGAAAATCTTGTTCACACAAATAGGTTGTGCAGAAAAGTAATAAAAATTTAATAGCTTTATTTGGAATGCCTTTGAATTTTTTTTTTTTTTTTTTTGGTTCATCCAAGAGATGACAAGTGCGTTATTTTTAAATTTTTCGTTAGAGTTAGATCTCAGGAAATTTCTATCAATTGTTTTTTTTCGTCATGAGATTAATTTTCAGGCACATTTGAAGAAAATGAATTTTTAATCCAATTTTTTTTTTCATAACCCTTGGGAAAATATATGTTAAAATTATTTATCAATGAAAAACAACGATTTTCTAATGTTGATTCTTCATTTATTTTCAGATTATTTTCAGGTAGGAAACTTTCTAAAAGTTAAAGCTTAAAATATTATTATTCAATTCTTTGATTATTAGCTCAAGTTTTTTTTTATTATTCCATTTATTTTATCTCTTAATAGTAAACAAATTAACACTTTATTTATGTAATCCTAAATTTAATTAATTCAACTAAAAATATCTGCTAAGTATGCTAAATTCACGAACAACATTCACTAAATAAACAATTTCGAAATTCAAATTTTGAATCACAGAGGAAAATTTGAATTTCTGATAGAAGTTTAAAAAGACGATTTAAATCTTTGGATAAGCACCTTATTTCAGAATGTTACAAAAGCAATCCATCTTCATTGCCTGTCTCTTTGGCGTAAAATCGTAAGTATTCTTGAATTTAAAGCTTGGCTTTTAATGAAATTAACAATTTTCGCAGCTTGATTGAAAAATGATTTTCAAGTTTTTAGTCATTGTTTTATCTACCAAAGATTCATGATGACTGGAACAGTGTGTAAATGTAGTTTCTGGTGCTACTTTCTTTATTTGAGAAAAAAACTCCGGAATGCATAGGATGTGGAACATCTGAAATACAACGTACATTTCTAGTACTCCTTTTCAAAAAACATCATGACAAATTTTGTTATGAAAGTGGCTAAAAGAATATTTGTGAAAATAAAAACAGATTATTTTGTGGATTATTGTTAAAGTCTAAGAGCTAGTAACTATTGACCCTTAACAAAGCTCAGATCGCATAATTTTAAGAGTGTTAGAGAAAAAACATAAGGAGGTTGGGGTGTTTAATTTTTGAATTTAACAGTAAAAAATACTTTGTTTTTTTGTGTACCACCTATTTTTCTCTTGTGTACCATCGATTGAGAATCACTGGACTAGAATACGATACTGAATATATTTGAGTTACGTAAAATTATTTTTATTGATATAAACATCATAATATTATTCTATTAAATTTTTGCACGTATACATAAGATTATTATGATTGGGAGGGGAAGCTTAATTGTGTATTATTGTTTAAACTGCATGCTGTATGCATTCATTTAAATAAACAATTTCTTAAAAAATGTATTGTAGTTTAATATACTTTTTTATTGTTTAAAAAAGTGTAATAATTATAAATACACTGGTGTGCAAAAATTAAGGACGAAGTCGAAAAATTAGCATATCAGCTGAATGAAGAGGCAGAGCGGACAGAAAGACCAATCAAGAGATTAAGTAAGGTGATGTACGGTAGCACATGCGCAGATATGCAGGTAGACGTAATGGGGGAGTGTCTGAGTAGTATAAAGCATGTTGTCGGTGTAAGATCAGTATTTCTGGCAAGAGAGATTGCACGCCGTATATAGCAGTTAAATCACACCGAGTTGCTGTCCTGAGCGAGAAATGGCGAATAATCAATCTGTTAGACGACATCTGGATGCTTTTACCCGAGGTCGAATCATTGGGAAGTTGGAGGAAGGCCGCAGTGTGACAAGTGTGGATGCAGAGTTCGGAATTGCTCACAGCGTCGTTTCACGACTTTGGAGACAATTTCAAACTACAGGAACAGCTATCCGGGGGTTTAGTAGTGGTCGTCCATGAGGAACCACACCCGCAGATGACCGGTATATGCCTTACAGGCCAGAAGAAACAGGCACCAGACAGCGGGAAAAATCCCTAGACACACGACACAGGCGACTGGACGACCGATATCGCGTTTTACCGTGGCCAGAAGACTGCACGGTGGTGGTCTGTTTGCACGGCACCCTGTACGGTGTTAACGCCTGCCCATCGGAGAAGGCGTTCTCTGTGGTGCCAGGAACACTGGAATTGGAGGGACAATGAATGGGGACGAGTACTCTTTACAGATGAGAGCAGATTCAGTCTGAGTAGCGATTCTCATCACATACTCATCTGGAGAGAGCGGCGAAGCCGCAATCATCCCTCGAACATCATTGAAAGGGACAGGTATGGAGGTGGCGGTGTTCTCGTTTGGGGAGGCATCATGCTTGGTAGACCTTCACATCTTCAACGCAGGTTCAGTCAATGGGACCCGTTATTGTAACGAGATTCTTCTTCCATATGTGCGTCTTTTTAGAGGCGCTATGGGTCCGCAGTTCCTTTTCATGGACGACAATGCACCATGTTTATCGCACAGTAGCTGCAGACAGCTCTTAGAGAGTGAGGATATTGAACGTATGGATTGGCAGGCACGATCTCCGGATCTCAATCCCATCGAGCATGTATGGGATTTTCTAGGCAGACGCTTCGCAGCTCGTACCTTACCACCAGCAACGATTCCGGAGCTTTGATTCGCGCTGCTAGACGAATGGGCAGCAATGCCTCAACAACTCATTGACACCCTCATTCTCAGCATGGGCAGGATGCTGTGAAAACTGCCTAGCAGTCAGGGGAGATCATATCCCCTATTAAATGTTTCTTGCTGGACACCCATCACAGGGATGTTTCGGCCGTCAGTCGCATTGCGCTCCATGCTACTTTTTGAATAAAGCTTCTTTTTATCCCTCTGATTTCTCTTTTAGTAAGTGTTGCTTACATTACTCATGTCCTTACGTATTGGGGATCTTACGGTATTAAATGTGTTGCAGTGGAAAGCTTTTGTACAAAGTTATATTAAAAAAACCGTCTCGTCCTTAATTTTTGCACACCAGTGTATATTCTCATATAAATTTACAAAAAGCTTATTTTACTTAGCTTAAAAGAATGAAAAAATTATTTAGATCATTTGAGTGTCAGGTTCTTAAGTTCCAAATGCTTTTATTATACTGTAGTTATTTCTGTCTGTTAAACAAATGCTTTTTATTGCATAATATGTTTGACTTGTGTCTTGTCTTTTGGGCACATTTTTTTTATTCTGGGCTTGATTTTGATGTCGTAAAATATAGGTAAATTTGTACTCTGTCAAATTAATTATTTAAAAATTCTTAAAATATGTTTTTATTTCTCAGGTGTTGTTCTCGCTATATTGGAGAAAGGAGGTGTTATATCACCAATATACTCTAATCGTGGTTTACCCACAGCAAGTGCTGGCACTGTGTCAGCAGGTTACCAGAATTTTTTGATATGTATCGAAATGTTCTTTGCATCCTTGGCCCTCAGATGTGCCTTTCCCCATAATGTGTATATGACTGGTTTTCCGACGGATGGCTATGGAAGATCTGTGACAATGCAGAGTATATCAAGCAGCTTAAAGGTTTGATGAAATTATCTTTACACAAATATGCACGTATCTGGTTGTAATGAAAGTTTTCTGCCAAAAAATGTTTGCAGTAAAGTTAATTAAAAAAAAATGAAAGAGTACCTATTATATATATTAAACATAGATATGGGTGGGGATACGGTTAGTAATCCCCACCCATATCTATGTTTTTCTGCCAACGTTTTAGTAGTAGGTGATAAGTCTTCAGCCCAGAAACTTGTTGGCTGCGAAGTCTGAAAACAGATCAATCTCATTTTGCTTCCTGTGCAGAATGGAAGATAGCGCCAGCAGGATGTAGCTGCAGATGTGAAAAGAGGTAGAAGTCCGAGAGTGATATCAGGGCTATATGGTGGGTGTAGCAAAGGATCCCATTCAAGTTCGTACAGAGTCCAGGTTGGTGAATGTAGACACATGAGGTTTTACAGTATCTTGATGGAACATTTTCTTTTCGTGCCGAAACTCTGTTTGACATTTCTCCTTGAGAGCAGCATTAATACAGACTGGCATCCCGCTGTACACCTTGTCAATTGTTTTATCTTTTTCCAGATACTATTTGTGGATAATACCACAGTAATCCCACCAGATACAAAGCATGATCGTTTTGTTAGTCAAGTTGCGATGCTGTCGACAGTTGGCCACAAACCAACCCTCTTTTGGGCCTGTGTTGATGTAAATCCACTTTTCACTACAAGTGACCATCTGGCCTAGAATTTTGTCCTTCTGTTGATATTCAAGCAGAGTAATGCAGGCCTGAACATGTCTGTTCATATCTGCTTGAGTCAGCTCATGCAGGACCCAGCAATTTAAGTTGTATGTCAAGTTTATGCGATGCACAGCGCAACTAATAGACATGGCACTAAATTCTAACTCCTTAGCAAGCTCTTAACCCTTTGACGTGCAGTGGTCGTGCCCTGAAACCACCAATTTTTGAATTTTTTGCTCCTCTAATTTCCGAAATTTTTGAGTGAAAATCAATTGATTACTGATCTTTTACCTCTAAATAACACAAAATGACTGCAGAATTATACATGTTTTAGGTCTTAGTACTTCAAAGCGGGTGCCCTTTAAAATTCGTTTTCAACGAGACAAAATAACCGCCTTTTATTAATATAAACAACTTTAAATTTCAAAAGTTATTCATCGCACATCATGATTTCTATCGTAAACAATAAAAAAATTGCAATAATTAAACTGCATATATAAAAAAACCCTTTCTATATGTATGACATTTGCTTTGTGGTTTCAGGGTGCAACCACTGCATTATTAGAGCATTGTGTCACAACACAATCCTCAGAGGCTCGGTGGTCACGCCTTGAAACCACTGCTCTTCACAATGGTGTTTGCTTGCTTTTCAAATACGAATGTTTATTTTTACCCGAATATAGATAACTGGCTTTGAAACCACAGAGTTATTTTATTACTAAACAATACATGCACCTGCCCAGTAAAAAGGTCTTTCTTTTCCAGAGATTCTGACCTCAATACACTTGCTCCCGAAGCTAGTATTGTGATTTTATAAATTATTTCCTGTGGTCTAAATTTAATGTAAATATACTTTGCTATAATTAAAAATAGAAATCATGTGTAAAGTTTTATTTAAATTAAAAATATTTTGGCACGAGAAATTGAATAAGTATGAATGGGAAACGAACGATCCGTACCAAAGCCAAAAACACAAAGCCCCCCCCCATTAACATAAAAGGCCACAAATTTCATGTTTCAGAGGAAAAGAAACTGAATAATGCTGGACATATAACAGTGTAATTTAGATCCAGGCAGTGTGCATTTTGTAGCACAAGGAAGAAACCTCATAGAACAAGATACATGTGCGAAACGTGCAATGTGGGTCTATGCATGTGCCAGAAAGACAAAACGTGCTTTGAACAGTGTTGCAAATTGAAATGAAAATAAAAAAAAAAAAGAAAAGAAAAAAAAAAAAGAAGGAAAAAAAAAAAAAAAAAACCACTGAGATTTTTTTTTATCCTTATTTTAGAGTTTTTTTATTTTTTTTTTTATCCATTTATCCAAACATCCTTATTATGCAGGTACTTATATTTTCACTGCTATAGAAAAATTACATAAATGTTGATTTTTAAATTTTTTCTGACAATTTACTTTGTAAAATAATGCAAAAAAATTTTATATGATGCAATTCTTACATACATTTTTTTAGAATTCGTAAACTTCGTCATTTACGGAGAAAGGTAAGATTTTCCCCCTACTACCTCAGTAAGTTTCAGAGTCCTAGACGCATGCTGGTGCGACCACCATCCACAGAACAATGGGCAAGAGTAGATTTTTTTTCATACAAAATTTGTCTGTAGGATCATAATATTCAATTTCTAGAGTTTTTTTAGTTAAAAAAATTATAAAAATAATATCACGCGTGTCAGAGGGTTAAGTGGTTACATATTGATCTTCCCCATGTTTTTGCAGGCAGGCCTCATCAACATCAGTAGGCTGGCCAGGGGTCTCTGTTTCTTGAATGTCATAGTCTTTGTTTTTGAACTTTCGGTGCTAAATCTTCACAGTGTTATATGATACAACATTAGTGCCTGAAGCTGTACACATGTTTTGGTGACATTCTGTAGCTGACTTTTTGGAACAGAACTGGAAGTAAATGATTGTTCTAATCTGGTAGCATGATAGTTCCATTTCAGAAACTTTCTATTTAATGATAATGATATATTTTTTACTTACCACACAGTATTTTAAAAGCAAGTCTTTTTCTTTCAAATGTCAAAAATCATTTGACAAAATATGATTAAACACACCAACACAAACTGTTTGCACGGACAATATTTGTGGTGGTGGGAAACTTAAAAATATTTTTAACTGAGTCTTTTCAAAGTTTTAAATCATTTTATTATATTACTGTGCATTTTTCATCCATATGATATAGTAAATGTTGTCCTTACATGAAATGTAAGATCCTTGCCTTCCTTGTGGTCTTTCAAATAGGCTGTTCTCAGAGTGCTGTCATTTAAAAAGGAATAAGATCTGAATTTGAAGGAATTTCAAATTTAATTCTTCTGTAATTGTTTAATTAGCTGAGTAATTTAAAAGTAATATACAACAGTTCTTAATAATTTGAATCTTTATAGTTTGAATTATCTAATGTGGGCATGTATGGTACAATTAATTTATAATGTAACCAGCTGTTGATTTTTATGAATATTTGTGCCATTATTATAGTTATAGAATGGTGCTTTTTAATACTACATTTTACTTTCTGTATTTACCATATTTAAATTATCATGCCTTTAACAATTTTAAACATTGTTAAAACTATTCATTTTTAGAAGGAATTGATTAATATTAAGCACATAAGAACTAAAATCATCTTTATTTAGTAGTTTCAACACTAATATGCATAATTTTAAGTCTGTTTATTTTAGGAGATTTTAGTGTCTAATAAATTTTAATAACAGTGCATGAAAACTTCGTGAAATTACCAAAGAAGATGTGATTTTAAAGGCAAAAAAGAGAAAGTTATCAGTGTGTAACAGATTTTGAAAGTTAAAAAGTACAAATTAAGGAGGGAGAATAATTTTCTTAGAATTGTTATGGCACAATCTCGGTGTTCTTCAGATGCTTTATCATTTTTGACTTTTTGTAACTTTTAAGTTGTAGAAATAGTTGCCAATTCTTCTGGCTTTTCATCACATCTCCTGGTGTGTTGGTAGATCATCGAATCTTTTGTTTTTTTGATTTTTAGCCGTTATTGAGGAAAAGGTTTCCTGGCAATAATTTTTTCTTTTAAATTTTATTTGGTCTAAATTGTTAATTTATAGATATTTATAGAACGTATTATAAAGATTAAACAAATGTTTAATTGGTTAGTATATGTATTTAATTTATTTCACATCAATAAATAATACATTACTAAGTTTACTCACACCATAGTATACACATTAATTATGAGACTTTATTTTTAATTGCATTTAAAAATGATAAAAGCTTTTTTTTTTTTTTTTTTTCATTACTCAGGATTTCTCAGTGTAAAAAAAATTACAAATTGAAATTAGCCAAAGAACATTGTAGCGTGACCTCTCAGAATCTCCTGGCTGTTACACAAGAACCTTCTTGGTTTAGTTCAAAGTTGACAGCTATGCATAGATTTTTAATTAGGGATGAAAATTCTTCCCATCTGTATTTGCTCCCTGAGCTGCTTAAATTAAAGAAGGGAATGCTTATGAGACATTCTATTTGAACTGATTCTGAAAACCCTGTTTTGTTTTATTGTGATTTTTTAAATCTTTAATATATTTGACCATGTAACACATTATTCTTCATTTTTTTATGCATAATTTCTGGCATATTGATTAAATAATTTCTGGCATATTGATTAAAGTGTTTTTTTTTTTTTTTTTTTTTTTTTTTTTAGGAAACTATGAATCCCAAAGATATAATGAATGATGCTATCCATAACTTCCATCCTCAATATCAGCAGTATACTCAGTATACTGCTCCTCCACCACCATTACCAGGAATGAGGAGTGATAATGGAGCAAATGGTGTTGAAGAGCAAAATACTGATAATAAACAACTGGGTAATAACACTAAGGTTCAGGTTGTGCCAGCTCCACCAAAATATGGAGAGAAAATATTATTACTTAGTTCTGATGATGAGTTTCAGTAAGGTTGCAGAAAGATAAACTGAAGTAAGTATTAAAAGTATTTATCAGTTCATTTCAAATGCAGTTATGCTATTTTGATGTATTTTGACACACAAAGATGTATTCACAAAGAACCTTACTTTGACTAGTTGCAAAATAAAATGAGGCATTTTCTGATTATCTGCAGCTCCAATGAAAAATCTCAAAATTTTTTCTAACTATGGAGAGCATTCATGAATGTGTTGCCGATTTTGGAGGCTTGGTTTTGTTGATTATATCAAAGCACACTAGGGATATCTGTCGAAGAGGAGGGATGCCTTTGTGGAGAACTTTCTACGTTAAATGCTGATTTTGGAGAGAAATATTTGTGTTTCTTTATGCATATTTCAACAATGCATAATGTGGCGACTATTTTTATATATTCATTAAAAAATAAAACAGCTTCTTCAAGAAATCCTTTTGTAAAAATTTTTTTTTCTTTTTTCTTTTTTTTTTTTCACTTTTGTTCTACCTATATAAAAATATATCTGTTTTACTAAAAAAAATGACAGAGAAGTATGCAAATTTGGCATCACTTACAACTCCAGCATTGCACATCAGCTGTGATCATGACTGCTAAAGAATAGCTGAAACTCTAAAGTAAAGGTATGAAAATACACTCTAAAGTAATGAAAATAAAAGAAGGTGAACCACTGTTTCATTTTGATTTGTAATGACAAAAACAAATTTGCTCATTCTAAAAAGCGATACTAATGAGAATGACCATTAAATTTCAAAAGTTTCAAATCCATGTATACTCAAACATATCTGTGCAATGCACATACCCTGGGTTGCAACATAAATACTTTTTGTCAATATTGCAGGTTAGCACATAAATGTAGAAAAAGTCCAGACTGGAATCTGAGAATTTGACAGTTCATTTTTAGTGCTGTTCTTTAATTTTATGGATTTCTATCCATGATATCTTATTCAACTTCAAATTCTGATTGTTGAAATTCATCTGAGATTGCCGTACTGAGAACTTCCATTAACTTCTGACTGCTTAATTTTTTTATCAAAATCGTATTAAGTTTTTCTTTGTTACATATTTCAAACTTACAGTTATTTAATATAGGATATTTTTGAAACCAAGTTATTTTTTTAATATTGATATCTTGCATAATAACAGATGTTCATAAAAATCAGTGTTAAGAGTCATATATAGACAAAAATTCTATAAATAAATCTTTAAATCTTAATTAATTAAATTAAGATTTACTTTATAGAATGCAAAGTAAGATATGTATACTAATGAAATATTGAATATATAAATATTCAATATTTTACAATACAAATTGTGCTAGAAATTAAGTTTTATGGGGTAAGTTTTAAAACTAGACTCTCGGCAGACTTACTTTATATTTATTCTTTGCACCAAATTCATATTTCCTTGCAAGTACTTTTTGCTGTTGCACCTTTTTTTTTTTTTTTTTTTTTTTTAAAGCTTTAAACAGCACTCTGCCTGAGGCATTTTTTTAATGGGATTAGCAGACTTGTAAAATGACAGGTATTAAATCTCAAAGGGTTGAGAGTAGAACTTTGTCATCCAGGTGTACCACATGTTCCAGAGCTCAAAATAATCCAAAATAGTTGCATTATTCGTCATACTCACTGTTATTCCTGGATTACCAAAAAAAGAGAAAAATGAAGGAGAAGTTGGGACAATGTTTCTCATATCTATTTTGCACCACTGCTGAACATTTTTTATGGTTATTGAATCATTTTCATATTCATCACTATCTGGAGATGAATTTTGCTTTTGCTGTTTTCAAAATAACTAAAATTACATTCAATATTAGAAATGTCATCAGGAGCACATTTTTATTATTTGCTGAACTTTTCCTGCAAGCCATATTTGGATATAAAAAACAAAAACAGTAGCAGTGGAAGCACTTACAAAATTAATAGTGAACTCTATGTAAATATGAAAGCTTAGGTGGCACCATCTTTTGACCAAAACACAACTCGATGTCTAAATATTCCAGAAAATGTATTATCGATGATTAAAAGGTGCGGGGGGGGGGGGGATGGGGGATTTTAATTTTCTGAAACCTGTGAAAATTCTAGAATGAGCAAATCTTGGTACTTTTTTGGTGCCTGTGGAAATTGGGGTATAAGCAGTGGGAGGTTAAATTTTCAGTTAATATCTTTTCATTCTGAAAATATCTTTGTTACCTTTTTCACTATCAACAGCAATATTTTTTAGATATAAAACTTCAGAACAAATTTTACTGTCCATTAACTGATTGATGACTGGGGCATTGCTATTGCAATGGAAAACTTCTGTTATAACATCTTCCTTTATTGTCACTTCCCTACATTTCTTTACAAATTCCATTTATTGGAAAATTTTTGCCTTTTGCTTGTGGTATTCGATAACATTCATATTCCAGGCTATTATCATCCCAATCATAAAATATGATAGCTAGCTATAAATTATAAAAAAGCATTCTTAAAATTATTTGTAGCCACATCCTCCCATGAACATGCAATACTGTTAATGCAGGTTTTATGTTAAAGCTAATGAACAAACCCGCCAGATGAGCAGGCTATGGCCAAAGAAATATTTATAAGTTTTATGTATTAAAAAACTGAAAATAAAATGAACTATTAATTAAATGTAATGTATACAAAGTTGCTACCTGCAACCAAGCAAATTTTACGAGTTTTATATACACCTAAAAAGAAAGTCCATAAAAGCATTTCACTGTGAATGAAGTCGTTCATTCTTTCCAAGCAACAACTAATTCGTAAATAATTTTCTTGTTGCTAAACCAAGAAACAAAAACTTTGGAAATTTCAGGTTAATATGTATATAAAAACATTTCAATATGAATGAAGTCATTTGATTCTCTCCAAGTTACAACCAGTGTGTAAATAATTCTTTTTCTTGCCAAACCATGAAACAAAAACTTTGGAGTTTGTTGAAAAGTAAAAAGGTTGAAAAGATAAATCTGAAGAATATTTTAAGAGGAAATTATGAGTACAAAAATAGTAAACATGTAATGAAATGTTTTGTTACTTCAAGTGAAAAAGCTTTGGAAACTAGTTACCTAGTAAGCCTAAGAATTGCCAAGATTGGGAAGGCTCACACTATTGAAGAAAACCTTTATATTACCATCAGTTAAAGGCACTTTTTTAACATACTCAATGAAAAAGCGGCTAATGAACTTATTTGAAAGCGGCTAATGAACTATATTCAGTTATCAAATGATACAGTAAGTCGACAAATTCATGAAATAGCAAATTCCATAAAAAAGATGTTTAATCAAGAAGTAAAATGCAGTGAGTATTTCTTATTGCAATTGGATGAAAGTACTGATATAACAAACTCAATGTTGAATCTTTAGTGTACATACATTTTTTTAATGTTCAATTATTAGTTTACATATGTTTTGAAGAAGATAAATTAATTGCTGAAGAATATTTAATTTGTGAATGTCTTCATGATAGAGAAACTGCAAATGAAATTTTCAAACTAATTGACAATTTTATGTTTTAGAATGATATTCCTTGGAATAAGTGCATTGCCGTATTCAGTGACGGAGCTTGGGCTTTAACAGGAAAACATTTGGGTGTTGTTTCCCAAATAAAGAAAGTCACAGTTGAAACTAAATTTACTCCCTGCTCCATTCAACGTGAAGCTTTAGTAGCCAAAATTCCCCAAAACCTGAAAATCGTTTTGAATCAAGCTGTGAAAATTGTTTATTGTATTATAAGACGAGCCTTAAATTCAAGAATAATTACAATTTTATGTCAAGAGATGGACAGTAAATATGAAATGCTTTTTTGTTGCATTCTGAAGTAAGGTAAGAAACCAGAGCGAAAGTTTTAAATCTTCGTTTTGAACTTCGATCAGAAATTCAAATTTTTCTCTGCAATTCAAATTGTTTATTTAGTGAATTATGGTTGGCGCGTTTAGCATATTTAGCTAATATTTTTGGAAAGTTAATTAAATTAAATTTAGGATTACAAGGACAAGATGCTAATTTTTTTATGTTATAGATAAAATAAATGCAATGATAAAAAACTTGGATCTACTAATCAAAGAATTCAATAATAATATTTTTAACACTTTTAAATAGTTTTTTTTTACCAAAACAAATTTTAAAAGAAAGGAAGAATTAGTATCCAACATTAAAAATCGTTGACATTCATTTCCCTGAGGATTCTGAAAAAGAAATTTGGATTAGAAACCCATTTTGTTCAAATGTACCTGAAATTTTGTCACATGAAGAAAAAGAACAATTGATAGAAATTTAATGTGATTGAAGATTAAAAAAATAACACACTTTTTAACTTTTGGCTGAACCGAAAAAAATAATTTAAAAGCATTTCAAATAAAGCTATTAAATTTTTATTGCCTTTTTGCACAATCTATTTGTGTGAACAAAAATTTTCTTCCATGTTATATTTGAGAAATAAATAAAAAACAAAATTAAACTGCACCCTAATTAACGGTTAAAACTAAGTGAAATAAGACCAGACATAAAGAAATGATCTCTCTTAAACAGGCCCGAATTTCATATTTAATTTTATAATTAAAGTATTATAATTTAAATTTTGATAATTAAGATAGTAGCCATTTTTATATAATTTTTTTATCTGTATGTATTTAATACAAATAACCAACAGATTGAGCAAATGGCAAAATATATTTAAAAAAAATATTTCTATTGAGAAGGTGAAAAATAATTATTGAAAATTTTGTGGTGGTATTAAAGTTTTTCAATTTTTGTTTAGATTGTACATGCTAGTGAAAATGTTGAGAACTGCTGGTAAGATGTTTTTAAAATTCTTGAATGGTTTTGCCATTTTTCTGGAAATTTAGCATATATTTTAAGAAAGCTGCTTTATATCTGCATTTCAGCATGTGAAGCATTTCTATATCCATTGACTGAATGAGGTGCATATAATTTGAGGAAAAAGATTGGAAATGTTATCTTTTACTTAAGTGTGAGCTGAACAGTTGTCTATAATCAGAACAATTTTTTAATGATCGAGTA